TTAAATTTTCTGTGTTGTCCTGATTCAATTTGGGTAGGTCATATGTCTATAGATATTTGTTGATGTCTTCAAGTTCAAGATTTTCTTTCTTTCTTTTTTGGAATATACATTTCAAAATGTCTCTGAAATTGAAGATAGAAAAATCTTCCAAGCTCCTGGATAGGAAGAATTAATATTGTCAAAATGGCAATACTACCAAAAGCACTATACAGATTTAATGCTATTCCTATTACAATTCCAATGACATTCTTCAGAGAAAGAAAAAAACAATCATGAAATTCATTTGGAAAAATAAGATAGTCAAAGCAATCCTTAGCAAGAAAAGTGAAGCAAGAGTCATCACAATACCAGACCTTAAATTATACAATGGAGCTATAGAAACAAAACAGCACATTATTGGCATAAAAATAGACATGAAGATCAACGGAACATAATAGTAGACACAGAGACAAACCCACGTATATAAAGTTGTCTCATACTAGACAAAGGTGCCATAAACATGCACTGGAGAAAAGATAGCCTCTTCAGAAATCTGGGGAAACTTGAAATCCATATGTAGCAGAATGAAATTGAACCCTATCTCACACCCTGCACAAAACTCAACTCAAAGTGAACCAAGGACCTAGGCATTAGGTCAGAGACCCTGTGCCTAATGCAAGGAAATGCAAGCCCAGCTCCAAACCTTGCTAGCTTAGGTACCAACTTCCCCAACAAGACTCCTAAAGTGAAAGATGTAAAATCAAGAACCAATAAATGGGATGGTATGAAACTAAAATGTTATTCAAGCAAAGGAGACAAGAATGTGAAGACAGATATTACAGAACAGGAGAAAATCTTTGCCACCTGTACCTCAGAGCATTAATCTCCATGATATATAAAGAACTAAAAAACTTAACACCAGAAAACAAATAACCCACTCAATAAATGAGCAAAGGAACTAAACAGATACTTCACAGAAGAAGAAATGGTCAATAAATATATAAAAAATCGTTCAACATCTCTAGCAATTAGAGAAATACAAATTAAAACTACACTGAGACTTCATCTCACTCCAGCCAGAATGGCAGTTATCAAGAATACAATTAATAACAAATATTGCCGAGGAGGTGGGGAAAAGAATACTCTGATACATTACTGGTGGGACTGTAAATTGGTTCTGTCACTCTGGAATGCAGTATGGAGATTCCTCAAAAAACTAGGAATGGAACCTCCATTTGACCCAGTTATCCCACTCCTAAGTATATACCCAAAGGACTTAAAATCAGCATACTACAGTGATGCAGCTACATCAACATTTATAGCAACTCAACTCACAATAGCCAAGCTATGGAACCAACTCAGGTGTCCTTCAACAGATGAATGGATAAATAAAATGTTACACACACACACACACACACACACACACACACACACACACACATACATATTCCTCACCCATAAAATATGACTTTGTGATTTTTGCCAGTAAATGAATGGATTGGGAGACTATCATGCTAAGTGAAATAAGCCGATCCCCAAAAACCAAAGGTCAAATGTTCTGTCTGATATGTGGATGCTAAGACATAACAAAGGGTGAGAGAGATAGAAATTCATTGGATTAGACAAAGGGGAGCGAAGGAAAGGAGATGGGGAAAGAATAGGAAAGACAGTGGAATGAATTAGACATAACTTTCCTGGGCACATACATGAATTCATCACAGTAAATCTCCACATCTGTACAGCCACAAGAATGGGATCCTAATTAGAAGAAGAGGTTGCTCCATGTATATTTTATATGTCAAAATATACTTTTTCATGTATATCTACAAGAAAAACAGCTCCTCCCTTTGCACAGCGCCTGGATGTGTGTCTTTTAGCAAATGCAAGTTTCTAGGGGAACATCTCAGAGTGTAGGTGGCTCTGGGTGTAGTAGGAAATTGGTGCAGAGACGTATGTGGTGTGTAAGGGGTGTGTGTGTGTATGGTGTATGTGTAGATTTATTGTGGGTTGGGTGTGTTGGTTGTGTGTGCTGTTTAAGTGCTTGCTGGGTGTGAGTCAAGGTGTGTTTGTGTTGGGCATATGCTAGGCATGTGTCCTGGATATCTTGTGTGTGTGATGAATGTTGTGTGTTATATGTCTACCTTATCTGTGACATGTGTGTCTGCGTTTGGTGGGTATTAGGTATGTGGTACGTGCGTGTGTGCATGATTGTGTGTGTTAGGTCAGTGTCACATATCTTCTGCATGTATATGTACAAAGTGCCAGACACTATATTAACCATGTCATATACTTTATCTCAACCACAAAGATGACCATATGGGTGAGGTGCTCTTGATGGCCCCCTTTGGTGATGAGGAAACTGAGGAACAGGGTTTAAATGACGAGCAGTGGTCACACAGCTCACAAGGAACCTGGTCAGCTCAGGTCCATTCCAAACCCCTGGTCTCGGAGCCAGCAGTTCTCAGGCCAGTGTTTGCCCTGGAATCCCTGCGGACTTGGTAGAGCCCAGATCCCTGAGCCGGTCCCTGGTGACTTCTAATTCAGCAGGGCAGGAGGGGGACTCAAGATTTATCCTTTTTTAACCAAGTGATGCTGATGCTGTCAGTCTGAGGACCACACCTGGAAACCACCGCTCCAGGCACGGTCTCCAGAGAGGACGGGGCCAAGGAAGCGCTGCTGGGGTGCGAACACACAGAGCCCTGTGTGGGTCCCAGCAAAGCCAACGGCGAGTTCTGAAGTTGGTGTTTTACATGGAAGCTCATCCTCCTCACTGGGCGATGGGGACTTAAATCTAGCAAATCCCGTGTGATTGAAAAGGCAAAGGCAGCTTTCCTCTAAAGAACTGTATTATGACAAGCTGTGGAACTCTGTCCTGTGAGCAGTTCTGAACAACGGGGTGGGAAGTCGTGTTTTCTAAGGAGGGAACAACACACCGTCTGGTGTTCTCCAGGACCGGGCATCTCTTCTTGTGTATTTATTCCCCAGAACAGACTGACTCAGTCATTTTGCCTGTATGTTCTGGAGCTGGAAGACCAAGGTCACTGGGCTCCCCAGTCTTACACTTCCATTGAATGGCGCCTGTGCCTGTGTGAATCGGAGTCAATACTGCCTGAGGCAGGATTGATTTGAGGGCTGAATGCAGTGGCGTGTGGATGTGCCCGGGTGCAGCGTGGCTGATGGAGGCCATCCGTGCCATGTGCTCTTCTCGCTCCCCTTCATTTCTTTTCGGTGTGTTCTCCCTATCAGGATCAGAGAACAGGACAAAGGCTGGACAAAGAACAGGACTGGATGCTGACAGCTAGAGGCAAGGAGTCAGCTCTTTGAGGACTGAGGCTGGCTGGGGGTGAGGAAATGTGGAGGAGTGCAGATGTCGTTCTTAATGCACGAATGAAATGAAGTGAAGTGGCTTTTGTTGCTGGCCCCTCCATCGGGCTTTCCCTGGGAATGCCTCAGGATGGAAATCCAGTGGTGTTGGTGACCTGGACTGGCCGCGGGCCTCAGGCAGGAGCGTGGTTCTCCCACAGGTTTGCAGCACGTTCTATCCACCAGGACTTCAGGTCTGCCAGGTGGAAATCCCATGTTGCAGAATTTGGTGGAAATCCCATGTTGCAGAATTTAGAGACGTGGCTCCCAGAAGCCGCTGCCTTTCACTTGCTGAGCGGCAGCTCTGCACCATCAGAAGCAGGGCCACGGAAGAACATTGCCAGAGCTGAGAGCCGAGCTCAGGCTCAGTTCGTCCCCGTGCTGCTATTCTTGGGAACCAGCCTCACATGGCGCTGCTAAGTGCAGTGAGGCAGGCTGTCAACCGTAGTGACAAGCTGACGCTTGAAGCATGTTGGGGCAGAAAGGAGAAGGGCTTGGAAGGAGACCCCATGACTCCACTTTCCACCCAGAAATTCTAAGGGTTCTCCTACATTGTCTCCTCCTCCCTCCTTCCCACTCCCCCTCTATCCCAGAGGTATGCAGCCAGAACAGCTGGGGGCCAGGTACATTGCCTGCTGTCCTACTGGGAATCCTACTGGGTGACTGGCATTGTCCCCCTGGTGGTAAACTGAGGCTCGGGAAGGAGAAGAGAATGCAGCACTAGAACATTCTACAGTCGAAGAGTGGCTGCAAGTCAGAACCTTTTCTGATCATTTTATCTGCACCACGAGGCAAGGATCTTCATCAGAAATTTCCTTTTGGAAAAAAATGGAAAACATATATCAAATAGTGTATGCAGCACCAAGAATATAGGGGTGCTTAGTAAATTCAATTTCTTTTCCTGCTTTCAAATCCCTGGCTGATCTCATGTACTCAGAAAACCCAGCCTGCCTGATCTCCTTCTGAGTTTTCTCCCATCCCAGACCTGGACTGTTTTAATTTCACTCCTGCCCGTCTTGTCACTCAACTCTCTTGTCTCCGTTGGGCCCAGCCTCTGCCTGACCAGCAGCCACTGGCTCTCTTCCCGTGGTTGCTAGAACACACATTTTCCTTGCCACTCCCTCCACCAGGATTCACAATATGGTGTTATCAGTGGTGATTAATCATATTAATGGTAGCTAGTCCACGTGGAGTGTGCACTGGTGTCGGGACTCTGCGGTGAGCAGCATGGAGTGTTTACCTAATCTTCCCATCGTCCACCACCGCCGTGTTCTAGTACCGGTCCCCATGTTGCAGAAGTTCAGTGACTTGCTTAAGGTCACATGGCTAGAAAGCAGGAGGGTGGGGACTGGAGCCATGAAGGAGGGGCTTGTCGCCACCGTCCTGACAGGGAAGGGCAGTGGACCTGCCTAGCTTTGGGGTCAGCACACCTGGGTCTGAGTCGAAGCCCTTCCAGGTATGAGCTACATGACATTCGCCAAGTCACTGCAATTCTCTGTGCTGTCTCTTTTCATAGGAACCCCAAGTGGTGACACTGAGCAGAGACATGGAGCTCTCTTGGTCCACGGAGTCGCATGTGACTTCCTTCTGGGGCTGCTGGGTTCTCCTTGTGGGACCAATGTCATCTCAAGCTATTAATTTCTCTCTTTGTTTTCCAGGTAATGAACCAAAAAGATCATGTCTGAAGTTCAAGGAACGGTTGAGTTTTCTGTAGAGCTACATAAATTCTATAATGTGGATCTCTTTCAGAGAGGGTGAGTATGCTGCACAATCTGTGTGTGTGTGTGTGTGTGTGTGTGTGTG